CATATTATATATAATTTTTGGAGTATTAAGTTCTAGTAAAAAGGTAAATACCAAAGTTAACTAGATAATTCCAAATATAAGGTAACTAAGAGGAGCAATTCTGGTCAGGCTCAAAAAATACATTGTAAAAGGAAGATAGAGGCTTCCCATCCACTGAGTCACTCGCACTGTCTGAAGGAGCTCCACACAGGAGGGCCCACCTCTAGAGGCGCAGCAGGCCTTGTCCCCACTGCGCTCTCTCTCGGCACTTTGCAGGGCCAGGCTGCTAGTCCCCATTGCTGGAGTTCACATCCTGGTATCTCGCAGGTGCGTGAAAGGTCCAGCCCAGGGCATCCCTGCTAGGAGGGAGTCCCCTTGGCTGATGGAGGGAGCCCTGGGGAGTCCTGCTGGCTTTGTGGTGCATGCTTTGATGTGACCTGCACTATCCACGAGGTACAGACTCCACAGACCCAGAGCAGCGTGGCTGGAGCAACTCCCACTGAGTCTCCAGAACTGTGAACCAGAACAACTTTCTCATTATTAGTGAGTTCCCTCGGGTGTTTTGCTGAAGTGCTGAAAAGTCAATTGGCAGGCCCACATCGATTGCAACTCTTTCTTATACCAAGAACTGACTGAACTCAAAAGTGTACCTGAATCTGCAACAGACTCATATAATCTGCCAAAACAGAAGGGATACACCAGGAGACTTGCAAGTCACTGACCTGCCTCGCAGTCTTCAGCCACCAGGGCCTCATACAGATGCTGGCTGAAGGCGATCTTTGTGTCTTCTCCTTCCATGTGAATGACCAAGAGACCAGGGGTTGCCCTGGCTGGGACTCCGCGGTCTGCAACATTCACCTGCAGCCACAGAGGGAAGTTGTCTGCAGACGGACTTCGCAGAAGTCTGATTTCTCCTGTAGACTCGTCCACAGACAACACTGACTGGGTGTCTGCAAAGCTGAATGTGAGAGTCCCATTGGGCCCCATGTCTGGGTCATTGACCCTCAGAACAGTAATGACCTGATCAGTAGGCAGTTGGGGAGGAAGGAAAACATCAACAGGATTCTGCTCCCAAACTGGGTCATTGTCATTAACATCAGTGACAGACACATGGACAGTCACGGTGGTGCTTCTTGGGCCCTCAATGCCATGGTCCCTGGCTACAGCCCAAAACGTGTACTGCGACTGGGCTTCCTGGTCGAGGCTGCGGCTCGTTCTCAGCACACCTGTCACGGGGTCCACAGTGAAGGCGCCAGCAGACTCATCCAACAGGAGATACTCAGTTTGTCCGTTCGGGCCTTCATCCTTGTCCACAGCAGACAGCACTAGAACCACGGTCCCCACTGCAGCATCTTCCCTCACGGAAGACTGGTAATGCAGCTTGGAAAAGGCAGGGCTGTGGTCATTGTCATCCAAAACCCTCAGCCGCAACTGCATGGTGGCTCTCTGAGGGGGGTCTCCCTGGTCAGAGCACTGGATGGTGAGCACGAAACTGCTGACCCGCTCCCTGTCCAAAGCACGAGTGGCTGCCAGTTCTCCTGTCGTTTCATGAATAACAAAGGACTCATCCGTGTTTCCATCTATCACAGAAAACAATTGAACATGGATTGAAGTGGATTGGAAAGAGCGCTGCTTTGCTAGTACTGCCTACACTCATTCATTCATTCATTCATTCATTCATTCATTCATTCATCATTCATAGCTGTTTCCTTTCTGTCACATCCTAGCACTTTTGTAAGCACTGAGGATAGAGCTTGATAAATTCTCTCACCACGTGAAACTTCTTCCACAGAAAGAAGCAACTAGTAACTTACTCCTGATGGGTCAGTGTCACTGGATTAAGAGACACCTAGCAGAGGAGTAAAGCAGGTTCCTGAACGTGTCTGGGAGGGTCCCAGGGCTGTGTCCTGCTGTCCTCACTGGCACTGTACCTGCTCTGTTTTTCAGCCTCAAGAATTCTGCAGGCTGTCTCCACCCTGCCTTTCTGCATGATGCTTCTGCTTTGGGGCCTGACTTTCACGTACTGGACCCCTGCCACGGTGAGCTGTCTCAGCCATTTCCTGCTTGAAGTTGTGAGCACCAGGTACTATGTCTCAGCCATGGGAAAGTGGGCTAAATACAACATAACATGATTCAATATACAGCTTAATTGAGTCAAAACTCAGAGCGTTTGCTTCCCTAATTGGCAACAGGGTGCATTTTATGTGTGCATTTATAACTTTTTATTTTCATATGTGTTTCCTCTTGAGAACCTTAAAATGTATATTTTAGCATTTGAAATAAAATAATAGAAAGTAAGAATAAGCAACAGGAGCTGTGCAGTACTATGGAAATTTATAGTTAATGTTCATTGTTTAAAATTTAGTATCTAGTAAAAGATTCCTACCATTAACTTCCTGAGAAACGTTCCCCCTAGCTTCAAACATACTCGTTTCTCCACTCTTCCCACTTTCTGAAGGAAAGTCCCCTCTTGTGAAAGTCTTCAGTTGTGCTGTCATGGCTTCCTCAGCATCCTATATCTACCCAAAGCGTTTAATTTTCTTAGTCCTTTTGACTTTTTTCTTTTTTTGTATTTTAGGAAAGGGTCTACAGGGTGTTCAGGATCTCGCTACTAGATCAGACTCAGAGTGACCCGCCTGTTTACAGCCTCCCAAGAGCAGGGATTACAGGCGTGTGCCACCAAGCCCAGTCTCAATCGCTGTCTCAGCCTGCCCTGGGGGCGTGGCCTGCATGGCAGGCCCAGGTATTGAATCCCCGGTGGTGCTTTAATCCACTGAGCTACGTGGCTGGCCCCCATTTGACTTCTAGATGAAGAAAAAGTTGTGCAGTGCTGGATCTTATGAGTAAGATGCACGACTACGCACTGCAGTGTTTCATGAGCCTTTCTAGGAAATGAACGAGCTGGGGAGACCATGTTTGGTCTCTGGCCCCTTCTCTCTTGCTCCTACCCTGAGCCCTGCTCTTGGGGTGCCCTGAGATAAACAACTTTCCTGTGTCACACCGCTCTGCCATCATGTTTCTGCCTGGAGTCAGCCAGCCATGGACCAAGCCCTCTGAAATTGTGAGCTCAAATATTTCTCCCCTCCTTCAAGTTGAAGGGGTCATGTATTTTACCCAGCAATAGAAAAGTGGCCGATACAGCTACATCGTACAGAAGAATCAATATTTAGAATGCATCAACTCATGGGGGGAGCTGTAATTAAAAAAAAAATACTCACTGATTATGTGATACCTGACAGCTCCATTACTGCCAGTATCTATGTCAGAGGCCAAAACGGTATAGACAACGCCAGGTTCTTGGTTTTCCAAAACCTCAATGCTGCGACTGGAGGTAAGAAACTCTGGTTCATGGTCGTTTTCGTCTTCAACTGTGCAGATGACTATGGTGGTGGAGGACAGCGCAGGGACACCCCCGTCTCGTACCAGGACTGATATGGAACATAAAGAGGCGCGGATTGTGGCTGTTAGTGAACACTGGAACGGTTTCCTCCAGACAGCATTCGGCACCACTCGCTGAGTAGCACTTGGTCAGTGCTGTTTTATTCAAAGACACCGCAGTTCAATGTTAAATTTCTTCACTGCCCTTTGCGGCGGACAGGAGGATGACTTACCTCGAAGGGGAAAGACGTCCTGGACTTCTCTGTCAAGTGTGGTGGTTGTCACCACCTCTCCAGTGTCAGGATTGATCTTGAAAAACTCAAAGGAGGCCCCCGATAGGATTTCAAACTGAAGCTTGGAATTGATGCCTCAAAGAAAAGATAAAGATAACTTAGCATTTATCCTCTGGGTATTCACCTGACCATTTTCTTATTTATTTTCCTTTGAATGTGTTAGGCCATAGGTGAGGAAGGCAAAATTCTTGTGCGTGTGTGTGTGTGTGTGTGTGTGTGTGTGTGTGTGTTTTAGTAAGGGTCTACAGGGTCTCACGACGTAGATCGGACTCATAGTGATCTGCCTGTGTTCAGCCTCCCAAGCTCTGGGATTACAGGCACACACCACCACACCCAGTCTCAATCACAGTCTCAGCATGCCCTGGGGGTGGGGCTGGCATGGCAGGCCAGGTTGAACAGGCCACTGCGCTCTGCCTAAGCAGGTGCTTTAATCTGCTGAGCTGTTTACCTACCCCTTTGTTGCTGTTCTTTCATTTTGTTTTTTGAAAAGTTGAGAAGGATTTTTTTTGGGGGGACTGGCTCACCCAGCCTTAAGGGCGGGTCTGGTGCGGCATGTGGAGCTGGGGATAGAACCATGGTCCCCTGCGCCTTATTGAGTTTGCCCAAGCAAGCTCTTTAAACTACTGAGCTTACTGGCAGGCCCCCCCCGAAGAAGGCAACTCATAGCTAGTCTTCAAATTAAGGTAAAAGAAAACCCCTTTGAATGTGGCTGCACAATGAAGGCCTCAGGAGCTGAAATCCTTGATTTTCAAAAGTCTTCCGAGACTTCCCCACAGCGAATGCTTAGGATTTTTTCCCTCCCATAAAATTTTTCTTATGAGTGTGCAACTCCACAACACATTCCTAATTATTCCATTTAACACCCTTGATTGTGATTTAATGATGTAATTGTAAGTCTGTGGTGCAAATGACACTTTCTGCAGATGGACCCTCTGTTTAGAGGCCTGTGCTCACTGCCAGGACTGCTTATTTTCAATCTTAGGAAGCCCACAGAGTTGCTTATGTGTTTACTTTTGTTTTGTTTTTACTTCGTAGTCCGTCTCCTATCTGAGTGAGAAATGTGATACTGTATTATTACGCATTTTCAAAGTAATGGTTCCCATACTTCTGTGGTTCCAGCTAATGATGTGCTGTTTTCTCTCCAGGCCCTTGTCATCCTCCAGAGTGATGAAAATGGAAATAAAGAGGAATTGGTCTAGTTCCAGCACCTTACTGAGCATTTTGGATATCTGGATGTGAAGCTGTGTAGTGATATCCTTATGGCACACACCTGAGGAAGGCTGTGTGCGTGTGTGTGTGTGTGTGTGTGTGTGTGTGTGTACGTGTACACATACATGTGCCCAGGTGTGCCCGTGTGCACACACACCCATGTAGTGGCTCACGGGCTCCAACACCTGCTGTCTTGTGACTTCTGCACTGTGTCCCTGAAGCCACCTCCCACCATTCAGTTCCTTCCCATCTAGCCCAGCCCTATGAGCCGTCATTTTAGCAACTGATTCCTCCTGCAGATCTTGGGAGCTGTTGATGAAGATGTTGAACAAATCCTCATCCCAGGATCTTCCCAACTATCTCTCTACTCTTGATTATAGATGCAGAGATGAAGAAAGTGCCGTCTGGGAATACTTTTTGTTCACCTTGCCCTGCTCAGGTTCCTACCGACCACAGCCTGTCTCTCTCTCTCTCCCAGGTCACAACCTTGATATAGCCCAGGAGGAAAGGTGGCTTTGGAGAAGAGCTCCTTCAGCCCTTTGCATATATTTCGGCTCCAGTCCACAGCTTTCGAACCCAATGGCAAAAGTAATCTTTCAAATACTCTTTCTTGGAATTTTTCTGCTAATTTAGATCTTTCTCCTAAAAATATTCCCGTTGCTTATACTCTTCTGTAGCTCTCTGTCCCTCCTCCTTGTAGCCAAATTTCACTTAAGCATGCTGTCCATTCTCTGCAGTTAGCTCCAAACCACCGCTGTCCCACCCACTCTTCCCACCATGACAGTGGCCTCCTGCTCCTAAAGCCTGCTGGCCATCTTCAGTTCTTACCTGACTAGGCTTCTCTGGGGCATATCGCTCTCTCATATTTTAATAGAAATGAGGGAACCAGAAGAACGGGGGAAAGAGGTGTAAAGGAATATAAGGAAAAGCTTTTTTCCTTGTTTCATTATGACAGATTTTTCTCCTACTTCCTCAGTGGAATGTAGAGATAATTTTATGTGAGAACAGCTGACATCTAAGTCATTTTCCATTCCGCTTTTCTCCTTCTCAACCCAGAGAGTTCAGATCCCTCTTTCCTCTTTATTTCATGTGTTCATACATTTTATGTGCATTTGCTAAATGTCAGGTACTCAAGAGTCATCTTAGTTCTCAATGTTCTCATGTAGTGGAGGAGACGGTCAAGTATATGTGTCATATAGCGCATGATGGAATATAGAAAATGGCTGAGGAAGTAGACCAGGAAGTCTACTTTTAATATCATTAAAAATACAACTGCTACCAAGAAAACAAATGCTTTGTCCTCACAGTGCTTACAGTACAGCCCTGTATGTGGATGAGTGAGCAGGCAGTTACAGCTCCACATGATGAGTGGAATGAGGCGACCTACTTTCTGGAAAACCTGAGATCCTGAAGATGAATTAAGCAGGAAGAGGGAAGAGTGTGAACTCGCTTAAGACAAGATCCAAACACCTCACTGGGGTCTATAAAGTCCCACTGATGCAAACTCTGCCTGTTGTCCTAAGCTTTTGCTCCCTCCCAGATTCCTGTTCTATGTGTTGTCCTGCTGTTCTCCGGATGCACTGCTGCTTTCTGGAGAGGCCTCTATAGCTGCTGTTCCTACTGTCCCTTCCTCCTTGGGGCTTTACACGGTGTCTTGGCAGCTAAACAAATGTATCTCAGATTTGTCTTCACTTTGGCCTTGATGCTGGAGTGAGCTTGTGAAACCACACATCATTGCCAAATGACTCCGTCTGAGAGTCCCTCACAAAAAGGACACAGGAAGAAACTGAAAGTCAGAAGAAGAAACGATGCTTCCTTCTTCCTGGTCGCACACTGTGTCCATCAGCAATGTCGGCCTGTCTCCTTCGTCCCGCCTCCAGCCAGGCTCTCCACAGCCCCTTCTCTCTGCTTTCTCCCCAGTTCTAATAATTCCAATTTCCCTTCTGTTTCCTAGTAGCAGCTACTCCCTAGATTCATTTTTTGTGGACTGTCTCACTATTCTCCTTTGGCTTACTCAGCTATTCAACACCTGTGCTGCAGCATCTGGTTTTCCAGACTGAATATGACTGATAAGATATTTTGCAAAAGGAGTTGGTTTCAGCTGATGGAATCTGGGGTTGGTTTGATTCCCTTTGGTTTTGAATGCAATGCGCAGTTTCTTGCCACAGAACTTACAGCACATTAGTAATTCAACACCTGAGGTGATATCATGATTAGTGAAGTTGTCATCTGTGTCTGCCTGTGATGAAGTGACTATCAAAGGGGTCCAATTCACAAGGGAACCAAATGGCACTGATTTTGACTATGTGATGGTAAAGAGGGGTATGACACAGGATGATAAGTCAAAGGGCTAGTCGTTTACAGAAAAAAAACAGTACCAGCTGATGTTTTGAGCTTGCAGCTCAAATCATAGTTCAGAAGTTTGCAAGCTCTGATGTGTGTGAGCCTAAAATTCACCTCCCTAAAGATGAGACCCCCATCAAGTGGCAGATTTAGCTTGAAAGGCATGCTTACACTTGTGAATCTTCATAACCAGAGCTAGATTTCAACAACCCATAGGCAGTCAGGTACAGCCCACAACAGCTCATAGTCAAAGACAGCTCATAATTCAATAGAATAATAATTTTCTAACTTCCATTGGCATAAACCTGGGAAATACATATAGGAATATATTTTAAGGACACGAGATGCAGGAAGAGAAACCCTAACATCGCCTTTGGGTGGATTTGTTGATGTAGTGTGTCTACCACGGAGTCCATACTTAATGCACCAGCTCATGTGGTTCTGCCCATGGCAGTTTTGTTGACTGGCTAGATTCAGTGGTGGCCTATAATCACAGAGGCTGAGATGCCAATTCTTTGCTTGCATATTATGCTGAAAAGAATTCAAAGCTTAGGGAGATGGGACTGTCAGGATCAATTTACCTTGTGTTCTATGCCTACCATCCATCCCCAGTGTACTTCCCAAGAATTCAGAGGAGTTTTACTTCTGAGAAGTGTGGGGTAGGACTGGTTAGAGGGCACCAGCATTCTTGAAATGTGCCATGGTGGTTGTCACCTGTAGGCTGGGGTGGAGCACAGTGTAATCATTCTGTGACCATCAATTTGTTGACAGAAGATACTTTGTGTCAGTTTGTGAGTACTATAAAGTCACTTGCTTCCACCCAGCACAAGTAGCATGTCTATCTATGTTCAAGCTCTTTGACCATTCATCATCATCTATTCAGAAGATGCTGACCTTCTGGGCATATGATAGAGCACTTCACTGCCCCATAACTTGGATGACATTTTGATAACTGGATTTTATCACCAGAAAGTAACAAAACAAAACAAACAAACAAAAATGGGCCAGGGAGATGGCTCAGTAAAATAAGCACTTCCCTGGCAAGTGCAAGAGCCTGAGTTCAATCCCTAGTTCTGCCAAAAAAACCAAAATCCCAAAACTCATCTACCTTAATTAGACCTGTGTTGAACCAGAGATTGAAATATCAAAGCCCCCTGGCCACATCTGTGCCACCCCACGTTGGTGTGTTACAGAAACACAGTCACCTACAGAACTAATAAGGAAGCTACCCAGGCAGGGCACAGGGGGCTACTTTCAGATTCACTTTTTAGGAAGATCACTGATCAAGTAATTCATCAGCTGCACAATGACCACTCCCTCAGCCACTTCTAAAGCAAAATGACAACTGTGTCTTGTTTGAAGAAATAAGCAAGCAAACTGCAGAAGAAAGGTAACCCCAGCAGCTTATGTCCCATCTGCTTCAGTTCCCCACATTGTGCAGTAAAAACATTCATTCAGTTTCTATGTCACATCTTGCTCCACTCTAAGGACTTAGGATAATAGTAAATGAGATGACCTGAATCCAGAAAAAAAGAGCATCCTAGGCCCGGGAGTATTTCATAGTCTACAGGGAGGAAGACAAGGAAACAATGATACAATATTAGCACAATGTATTCGATGCAATAATAATATACTCCAGAGTTCTGGTTTTAACTGTTATAGTCTGAGTAAGGTTATTAGTTCTTATGTGTTTTTGTCCTGTTTTAACCTTCTTATAACCACATTTATAACAGGACTTCACACAGAGAAAAGCCTAATAGAAAGGACAAGCAGAAATCAAGAAAATGCCTGCAGAACAGTAGTGGGGTGAGTAGAAGCGCTGTCGCCTAAGTAGGTGGTCGCTCTGCTCAGCATGTCACTGTGACTTCCTGTAGTGACATTTCTTTGGATTGAGGAATTCAAGCTATGAAGTGCCCAGGGGCCTATCCCCTCCCTGAATTCCCCTGTTAGGATTTTGGAAATGCTCCCATTGCTAGATTGGGGACACAAAGCCAGCATTATTAATTGGGCCTGAACCTTGTGGATCTTCTCCTGCAACCCTAGTCAGGTCAGATCTAAAACTGTGGGCAAGCGCTGGCAGAGAGAGCACTGGGGAGCAGGTTGGCCGGCAGCTGCAAGCGACGTGCGGAGGAGCAGATCACAGGTATTTTGCCTCAGCAGATGACACAAGGGACTACCACTCCATGAAGAAATTGTCTCAAAGGGACCTGAATATACAAATAGAAAGGCTACAAAAGTGAGAAATTAGTATTGCAAAACATGCCAGATTGAGATATTTTAAAATTTGTATCCTTCAGTTTACGCATAGATGGGGCTGCTTCTCAAAGTATGCAGAATGGTCTCATAAACATTCCCAGGAGGGTGGTAAGCCATCCACTGGGTAAAGTCATTCCTAAGGCACAGGCGAAGAGCCCTTATTTACTTTCATTAATTCCAACATACTTTTCCTGTTTTAACTTTTCTGAAATCTGGTAACTTTTTAAGTTAATGGTGTCTCAGATTCAGCGACGTACTGTTTCTCCTTGGCCCCAAGCCTGCTGGGGGTGCAGCAGGATGCCCCGTGGTGTGCAAGACATTCTAGCAAGCCAGATACAGAGCACACTCCAGAGAAGGCGCTGTAGAGAACCCCCTTTTCTGGAGTACAGAGGAGCATCTCATTAGCTAACTCCACGTGTCTATCTGGAAATGTGCTGTTCAGCAATTTGTATTCGCCACTCTGGAGCAAATGCATCAACCAATACAAGCTACCTGCCAGAGCTGCGCAGGCAGCCCTGGGATAGATCTTTGCCTACTAACAATGGCTCTCTTGTTGGTGACACCAAATGCTGTAGCAGTTTTAATAACATAGTTAAAATCTGGTGTTTTTTTTTCCTTTTAATATAAGAAATAACTCTGTTAGAATAGGGTGAGTCATACACCATAAATATTCAGTGCTCAAATCCCTGTGGGCTTTGAATGCCAAACAACATTGTATGCTTACATATTTTAAAACTGTATTGTAGAATACTAGAAAACATATGCTAAGTTCTCTGGTATTAAGCAAGGCTGTAGGATTTTTTAAAATACATACTATAAAGTAAACCATTCATAAATTCCAGTGCAATGCCAGTTATGTTAAAATCTTGACTACGTCATTCAATCCTCATACATAATTCTATTTCATTATGTTAACCATTGAGCCAAAAAAGACCCCCGAAAAGAAAAATTGAGAGAGAATATATTCAAAAAGCACATGCATGCACACAAACATTCGTAAGCATTTGCATAATCACCTGCTTAACAGATTTGGCCTTGTTAAAAACACCAAGACTTCCAGTGAATCAAAACCATCTCCAAAGCGTGCGAAGCTACAACAGACTAATGAAGACATTAATGTGTCCTTCAAACATGCATTACTGAAAGGGGCACAAACAAGAAATCTGCACTTATGCTTGCAGCCAGCACACACAGCATCTAGACTATAAGCTTCCAATTCAGCTACAATTGAACAGGTTGCACATGATTCATCCTCAACGGAAATATCATTAGCGTTAGACAAACTTGACAATGAAAATCAGAACATGATCCCCCTTCATAGAAATTCCTTTGCCTTCAAGCATTACAGGAAGAGAAAATCATAATTAAAAAATAAAATTTGCAAAATAAATAAGGCCACAGGACAGAAGCGTTCCTTGATTAATAAATCCCATGGCACCAGCAACAGGCTCAGTGTCATTCTGCACACTGTGGGGTGCAATTTCTGTTACCCTGAGTCCCATATTGTTCTGCTCACCACTGAGGACACTCTAAAGGAACTCTATTGGAGTGGAATTATTATCAAACACAAAGCTTATGCCTGTTTTCCATATTTTCTGCACCCTAAAGTGAGTATCTCCAGGAATATGCTAAATTCTCTCAGTACCTACTCCTAAAAGCTGCTGGCCTGCCCCACACTTACTTAGAGCACAAGAAAAACTCCTTGCTCACACTGCCCCACTCTGGTCAAAAGAGAAATTAGGTTAGCGCTTGAGAAGAGTGTTGAGGGCAACTGCTACAAATTCTGATGAAATGGATTTCATTAAAAGATGGTGCTTCTCAAAGAGACAGAGCAGGTCGGTGGCAGGTGATTTAGTTTAAGTTGCAAGGAAACCTATCTTTTACTCTTTGGATTAACAACTTAAGGGCTAGTGCTGTTGTGAATACTATGATTTCCACAAAAGCATCTCTGACTATTCTTGTAAGAACAGAAGAAAACATTACACTGCTGTGCAATTCTGCTCGCTATACACAGCTGCGTATTTTAGAAGACTAACATGGTACACGATTCATATTAGCTCAAGGGGGAAAATTCTACCAACGGTCTTACTAGGAAGCTCTGCTCTGTAATTTCTATACATATTAAATTACAAATTTTAAGATAGAAACAGTTACTGAATTTATTTGTCTTTTATTTTTTTGTGGTACCAGGGATTGAACTCAGCACCCTGCGCTTGGCCGGCAAACACTTATTATACTGAGCATATTCTACTTATGCCTGAGAATAAGACAAGCACTTATGCTCTCCGGCCACCAGTTACTGAATTTTAAGTGTAAGAAAAGCTATAGTGATTGAAAAGCAAGCCTAATAAACTTATAAATTTTGAGCTCTGACAATTCATTTTGAAGCCATTTGTCTGTATTCTATGGTTGATATTAATGATAGTAACAGCGACATTGGAAATTAACACTTATTGGTCCCTCGTTGGGTCAGACACTGACATAAGCTCTGTACATGGAATAATTCATTTATTCATCTGAAGGATGGAGATGTCTGACCCATGGAATAATTCATTTATTCATCTGAAGGATGGAGACACGAAATGAGGCACTGCCCTGCGGCCCACGTTACTGATATGCAGAGGAACAGAGAGATGGCAACTCTGTCAGGATTACGCAATGTAAGTTGTCTATCTCCAGTACTCCATCCCTTCTGTAAAGCTATACATTGAGAAAAGAAAGCACCATGAATCTTCATTACTTAATGCGTTTATTACTCTGAAATAAAGTGATTATTTGTTCGTAATTCTGTTTCTGTCATGATCAAATCAATAAATTGCATTTTAGTTGAGCATATACTAGTCTACTATAAATGATACTAAAATCAGTATGAACAAATGCTTTCAAAAGCATGCATTCTCTTAGATATGCATGTTCTTATGTGCATGGGAGTAAAAGTAAAAGCCCGAGAAGCCTGGTGACTACACTGTTTATGAATCAAAATACAGAGTCGGCCAAAAAATTGTATGCACACTTCAGGGAAAAACAACTTGTATAAATATTTTATTACTCAATGTAGTGAAACATCATGAAATTAAGACAAACTATCTTTGGGCTTTACAACTGCAAGCAGCATTCAGAGTGCTGGCGCTGAGCTCCTAGACATTCATGAGTATGGTGAACATTTATGAGTACGCCAAGGCTCGGGTGGCCTTGGGCGTGGAGGTTGCTGCACACGCACCTTCAGCTTCTTTCCTAAGGGCCAGCGGTATAGTGGGCATCCTACCACAGGTGACATCAAGGTCTCTTCTATACAGGCCTGCAGCTAAGTCAGGAGCATGTCCCCTATAGGAGTTTGTCTTCTCCTGAGGTATGTACACATTTTTTTTGTGGACTCTGTAGTTTTGATATTTTAAATTATGTCAACCATAATTTTAGAGTCTTTTGAGCATCGATTACCAAGTCTTCCTATTTTTAAGTTACCTGAATCTCCGTCCGTTGCTTCAACCCTCGTGACAAACTCCCCTGGACTTCGGTTTTCTTTCACCGAGGCTTTGTACAGCTGCTGCTTGAACACGGGGGCCTCATCATTTACATCTAGGACAGTAACTGTCACGATCTGGGAAGAGGACCGGGCAGGGACGCCGCCATCCAGGGCTACGAGGGTCAGAATGTGCTGAGCTGTCGTTTCGTAATCCAAAGGACGAGCTGTAGTTAGTAAGCCTGTTTTGAAAGAGAAGACAAGCGACACGAGTGGATATTCCTCTGATTAGTTACATGTATGCTCTTTTAACCAATGTCTATTTTATCTAACTTGATTAAAAACTCTGAATTTTCATTGAAGAATGAATCATATTAAATCAACACTAAATTTACACATGATCTAGAATAAAAAGCTATGATCATAGTCAGAAAAGTAAGTTTAAATTAAAGGGTGGTGATTATTCAAAAAACAATCCACCCTATGCCATTGTCTATGAAGAAGATTAAGTTATTTATCTATCCAATACCTCACTTTAAAAGACAGTTGATACTAAAAATCTATGTATTTTTATGTATTTCCTCTTTAGAAGCATCTAAGTTACAAAGATGTAAGTATGATTACATGGTTTAAATCATTTTATCTTTGTTAAACAGGTATAGTCACTTTATATTTGCCCTGAGTTCTCTTTTTTTGCCAACAAGTAAAGGTAAAGGTGTTATAACTTAGTCAATAGACTTCATGAATAAAACACATCTCTGTATTATTGTCATGGGACTAGACCCATATAAGCGGTGTTACACAGGTAGTCACCATGGAATGCCAACAGTCAGGCTTTTCTTTCATGATTGCTGACTGTTTCTCTTATCCTCTAATAAATATTCTTCAAAATCTTAAAAAGGTTTAATGAGTTAGACTTTAGAAAACAGCTTTTTTTCACAATTACTCATCACGTTGTACTTCCTAGCCCATGAGCTGTTTAAAACTTTACTATTTCAATTTTATGAGAAATTCAAGCCTTGAGAGGAAAAATAAATCCCATCTCATATGAATGTACTTGGTAACCATCCTTTTATGTCTTTGAAAAATATCTCAGCTGAAACAGCCTCTACATTTGTCCAAGATGCATAATATCTCAATTACTGAGACACAATTCCAATTTTATTCATTCACTTTAACAATCTTCAATAGACCTGCCTTATCTGTCATGGAAAAGCCTTTTAAGTATCATTGCAACAGGTCCTTGGAGAGATGCAGTTCTTACAGAAACCAGCAGCCTGTGCCTGGACTATCTCTCTGTCAGCTGGGAACTTAGGTGGTGTTCATACACGCTTCAGAATGGAACCATGTGCACAGGATTTAATAAATATTTTGATGATTTTTTCCAACAGAATAGGGCCAGACTATAATGATGACTTCCAAGCCCTGCACACTCGGTCTCATTCCAAATAATGTTCTTATTAAGAGTTGGGCCAAGTGGTTCTACATCTGAGACTTTTTCCAAAGGCTCACACTGAAATGACTTTATTTCTTAAAGAATGAGTTCTTAGTTCATTGATTTTTCAGTGCCCCCTGAAAGTAAAGTAATGGGAATTCCATTTCCAAATTCACAGGATGGGTTTTTTGGACACATTCTTTACCAGATTCCTAAAGTATTATACTGGATGTTATCTGGCAGCATGGTGACATCAGGACAGCTGAATGACAGGAGGGAGCCCTGTCATAGAGTACTTGGCAATGAATAAAGACATCTGCAAAAAATTAAATGTTTGATTTCCTTAGTGATTGTTCCTTAAAAAACTAACCCTAGAAATCCCACTGTACCAGCCAGACCTCGTCTCTTCTCTCTGTCCAAGAGAGTTATGGTCATCACACTATGGTGGCCCATGCACACTCACTCACGTTTAGAGTAGCACAACTCACAACAATTAAATTATGGAAGCAGCTGAGATGCCCTTCATCAGACAACAAGATAAAGAAAATGTGGGTACACAATGGAGGACTACTCACCATAAAGAAGGATAATCTTGAGACATTTGTAAGAAATGGATGGGTATTGAGACCATAATGTTAAAGTGGAATAAATCAGATACAGAAGGACAAATAGCA